ATATAAAAGTATACTGAATATGTTTGGTTCGGCTTGGCTTGTTTATCATTTTTCATGATGAGACCAATATTATAATTTGTGAACAGAGATAATTTTCCATTTTCCGACCAATAAGCATCTTTCATTTAACGCAATTCATTAAGCGTATTAGGGTCAATATCAGTGTTTTGTGTAAGACTTCTTTAATCAATTCTATTATACACACACATATACACATATATATAAGGTCAAGTTCAGGGGAAAACCGCAAAAAAATAAAAAACTAAGGAACACATTGATAACCTTTCATTTGGACGTGTGCATACCGGTCATTTTAAGCAATATGTCCGGTATGCACTTATGCATAATATGCACATGTGCATAAAAACCAAAAAACAACTTCAATTAGTAGCATGCACATGTGCATACCATCCAAATGAACAGTTACCGAAATGTTCCTCAGTATTTCGTTTTTTTGAGACTTTTCCCTGAACCTCCCTCTCTCTCTCTCTCTCTCTCTCTGTGAGAACTGTATCAAAATAAGATAACACAATAACTGCTAGAGTACGTATGATTTTGCCCTTAAATCATATATGATTATGATACACGGTCAATGCATAAGTGCACGTGTGACTTGAATTGCAGCTTAGGTCATGCGATTGTATGATTTTCACGTGAGTTTAATGTAAAATCAGATGTGATTTAGCCGTTCTCGTATTTTCTTATTTGATCATTGTTCTTGTTCCAACCCAAAAAACGATTTACCATAGTTAATTAAAATTTATTGTTGTTTTGTTACAAAGTACTATGTTAACATTTGATTTATCTATAGATATAAATGAGAGCCATTATCCGGAGATGTTTCCATGTCATGGAACTTGCATTAATACTATTGGGAATTACACATGCGAATGTGGACGACGGTATTCTGGTGATGCCAAAATTCGAGATGGTTGTCGACGTAAACCGTATCACCCTCTCTGGTTATATATAGGTAATTCTTCCTTATTGGCCGTTTACCTAAACTCTTAACCGGTAAGCACTTACTGGTAAAATTCAACATAATTGTTTACTTACCGGGTAAGATTTTATTCACTAAAACGCATCATATGCAACAATTTATCCCGGTAAGAGCTAACCATGGTAAGAGTCATCGTCCTCACTTACAGGGTAAGACTCTCGATTCTTGTCTTCGCTCTTACCGGGTAAGATTTTTAGTCCTTGTCATATTCATACGGTAAAGTAAAGTGACTTGGTAAGCACTTACTCGGATAAGCGTTTAGTAAACAGCGTCTTAATTGTTGGCAAAGATTTGTACTAAATAAACCTTTGTTGGAGGTGAAACTTGTCTTTTATTATTATTCTAACTAAAAGCGTATTCGCGCAATGCAGCGAGATACATCGTAATTTTAATATTTCATTTTATTCTTTATCTCAGTCGATGTTATAATATAGCTTTATGTGATTTTGAGAAAGCAATTATGTTTTAATTTTTGAATAAAATATACGTTTGAAAATATCATAAAAATTTGACAAAAATATATCGATATTAGTATCAAATTAACTATTTGA